TGTAGAACTTTTTTGTTTTCCTGACTGATTTCCTGGGCTTTAATTGTATTTATGTATTGTAATTTATGCTACTTGAAATGTTCATGTAACAGGTGTTAGGATTTTTCTTTATTATGCTATTTATATGGCAATATTAAGTGACATACTTATTGCAACCAGAGGAGTGACATCAGCAACTGAGGGCAGGAAGAGCCATGCCTAGATGTTCCAGGTGGTGATATGCCTCAGGTATTAGAGATAGTTGAAAGTTGAATAATCAGTGGAAATCACTTCTAACGTCAACTGCAGGAATCAATCAAGTATGCGAAACATAAGAATCCTCAGATAGCCACGGGTGTTCCTATCTCTCAGGGCCTTGTTCTTTATGGGGACGCTACCAAGAGGACCTGGAGGACCATGCAGCCATATGAGGTTGAGGCTTCCTCAACCTCGGCCCTCCAGATCTTTTTGGCCTACAACTTCCATGATCCCTAGCTAGCAGGACCAGTGGTCAGGGATGATGGGAACTGTAGTCTCAAAACATCCGGAGGGCCAAGGTTGAGGAAGCCCGCTCCATGCTCCGACTCACATCATCACATATTATTGTTCTCCCTTCTGTGTAATTCACAACATTGTCTGCCACAAAAAGCAAAAAGCAAACAAGGATCCCCAAGTTGAGTTTCTGCATGATTCCAGTAATGATTTAGTATAAGAATCCAGATGGCTTGACTAAGTGGCCAAGCTGTCATGATGTAGGGGAAGACAAAAATAAAACAAAGCCAACCTAAAACAAAACACAGAAGCTAGCCAAGATTATTTGAGACAAAATAGATTGCTGACTGGTATTTGAGGGTGGGTGCGGGGATCAGGGCTTATATTATCAAAGTGGTGACTTTGTTGTGGGTGTATGGATGATGATGCTATAAGCTAATATAATGACTTTTTCTGTTTACAACCTGACTAATGTTCACATGTATCAGTCTGGACTTGCAATTTAACTGTGACCTTTGATATATACATATGAGAATCCAATGTGTTTGATCCATACCAGATTGCCTCCATGCAATCAGCACACAAGGATGTGGTTCACACACCCTACACACATGATTGCTGTTGGCAATGTGAGTCAGTCCAAAGTTATAAAGTATGGTCTTCTTGCAGCACTGATAAATTATACAGACTCCAGGCTGGAAAGCTGGCATTTTCTGATAAGAGTATAGCCAGAAACAGTGACACTAACACAGGCTCTGGGTGAATGCTGCACTCTGGTCTCCCAGCTGCATTTAAGCTGGAGTTTGTTGCCACTGTTGCTGTAATCAGTGGGAAAACCCTTTGAAATGTGCTCATGATAACACTGTAGCTCATCATTAAAGTAAAGGGTCTTGAAAGTGTCCTTTTCCTTCAGCTGGTAACTTTGAGTTGCACACACACTAGCCATGTATACTCAGAAGAAAGTTCTTTTGAATCAGTGGGGTATAATCTGAGCTAAGTAGGGCTAGAATTGTAGCCTAAGTCATGCTGATTCTACTGAAATCAATGAAACGTAAGTTTACATTTACATATACAAAACTGTTTTTGTGTTTTTAAGTGCAGCATGGATGAAAGCAACAATATTTGGAGTTTACTAATGATTGCTAATCAGGAGGCATGCTTTTCTGAACGTCTCTGAACTTCATCGTAATGTTGGTCATTTTTTGTTCCTAAATTAAAAGGTGCATCATTAAACAAGAACAGAATAAAAAAGTTAAGAAACTTGTATCTGAATAACACTGTTAGCTGCACGGAAAATCTGTGGTTATGGAACTATACCGATGATTCTGCTTTAGAAAGCAAGTTGACAATGAAAGTGCAAAACAGACACATTGTTCATCACACTGCCATATCTCTCCTGAGGCTGATTCCTCTCACGCTAATTTAGAGTGCTCCTGTCCGGAGTTGTTTTATTAATCCACTTATTGGGTCTTATTCTAATTAGATAATAACTTCCCTGATTGTTTTCTAAGCACGCACGCACGTGCGCGCACACACACAAGGAGAGTTTTGCGGTATATATCCTAGTGAGAAGAAGGCCTTGAGGCTTTGGAGTACAGCTTATGATTGTATTCTGATTATAATTTAGACTGTTATCATCACCATCACCAATAGAAGCCTGGAAGCTACACCACAGTATCTAAGAAATATAGAAATTATTATTGTTGTTATTGCTACTAGCCTCAATTATAATGATTAACACAATTTAGATGTTGTTTGAGCTACATAGGACAGAATATTAAATTCTAGGAAAGTTTCACCCTTTGCTATCCCAGTAACTGCTTGTTGGTATTGGTATCTGTGGACGAATAATCTTCACAAACTTCGGTTTCAAAAGCAAATCTTTCCTAGTTAACTCCCTAACAATATAAGTTACACTGGAACAAAGCTATTTCAAGAAACTTTCTGTATGGTATAGGGAAATGAATTTTCCAAGAATGCCCCTACAAGATTTAAAGTAAATGGAAAAGATTTAACTCTTTAAAATATGTACTCTGAGATGCTTTTAAAACAGAAAAGGCCATGCTAACACTAGTCTTTTGTTTATATTTTGCATCTTTGCTACACCATGGTACATCATTGTAATGGTCTTGCTCACTGTTCTAATCAGTGTTGGTGCTTACTCAATTGTATTTTTAATTGTGAGAAAGCATTGCATTTTCGATGATTACTCACTTTGGCTCATCAACATTCATTCAAAATGTTTGAAGATGACAGCTTAGTTGTGTTTGCTTGTTGTATGAAAATAACTCCTAAGTTTCTGTGGCATCAGGCAGGAAGCTTTGCTCTTTTTATCTAGAATTTCCAAGGACACGAGTTGGGCCCTGTATGTGTCATGAGTCTTTTAGTCATCATTACACAGATTCAAGTATTGAATACTTAAAAGGCCCCTGTGGCTACCAAACTGACCTGGCAACTATTTCATGAACATTTAAAACTATAGAGTCAACTGTTAACATGAATTTATTATCTAAAATGAAAGTGGTAACAGTCTCTGGTTAGGTTCCGATGTAAGATTAAGGCATGGTTTGACCTTGAAGAAACAAGGTTCATATGATACCTGCTCTCATTCCATCTATATCCTACCCCCCATGTGCTCTGATTCCTTTCCAAAGATTGCTTTTACATCTGAACTACATTGGTCCCACACCCTTGCAGAGCGGAGCAGCAACATTTAGCCCAAATCTCACCAGGAAAGGGTCCATCTGCAACAATGTACTCACAGTGAGCCCACCAATCAATGGAATAGTGCTAAACTGTTGTGAGACAAAGACCAGGCCAAGGGATGCTCAGCTACATGTGTTGGGTCACTGATTTACTGAGGCAGCCTCATTTGAGGCAGCGTCAGCTGGATACTGAAGTCCACCAGCACCACTGTGTGAGAGTTCTCCAACCACATCTAAGACAACTTCCGCCAGCTTGGTCAGGGAGGTTGCAAAGAGCGGGATGGAAGGCATACCAGCAACATCCTTATTCTGCCTTTCTGTCTCAAAACCACAAACTATTTATCAAACCCAGACACCATGTGGATTGGTCTCCTGGTGAAGGAAACTGCAAATCCCCTACCCTTCTGATCGGAATATGTTGCACCATGTATCCAGGTGTGCACAGCTGGGCAAATGTAGAGCCATCTGGTCCATCTGCCCAAGTCTCAGTTATACATGCCAAGTCTGCACCCTCATCTACTATTAAAGCAATTGTATATCTTACAGCTGGTAATTTAAAGGTTGTTATGTCTGGTGTGTGTGTGTGTGTGTGTGTGTATAAGTTATATGAAAGTCAGTTATGATGGACATTGACACACCTCACAGGAAGGGCATCCACATATCAGGAAATACACCTGAGAACCTTCTTCTCTTTCTCCCCTCTCCCTGCCACCACCCACAAGCTCCCAAAATCTGCCTCAGAGGATCAAAGGATGTGGTGGGAGAAAATGAAGGAGAAAGTCCTGTCATGTTCACTGGTGTGGTATTGGCCATTACCCCTTGTCTTTTTGTTTTTGTTTTTCATTTTGTTATCATATGCCCGAAACAGGGCTTGTTCAAAATATGGCTATTTTAGGCATATTGTCTTAGTTTTAGGACTACTCCATAATAAATGCATTTTCCACAACTTGTTAGAGAAATGTGCTGGTAAAGACTGACAATTTCATTTTGATGACTGTCAGAAGTTGTCATTGTATTGTTGGACATTCACAAGACTCATCTGGAATACCCTATATTTTGATGATTTTCAACACAGTACTCCCAGAACCTGCATCAGGTATCTTTGTACCTGAAAAGGATGCCTTATACCAGGCATAGGCAAACTCGGCCCTCCAGATGTTTTGGGACTACAACTCCCATCATCCCTGACCACTGGTCCTGTTAGCTAGGGATGATGGGAGTTGTAGTCCCAAAACATCTGGAGGGCCAAGTTTGCCTATGCCTGCCTTCTACTGTCAGTGCACAACACATATAATGGCTATAAAATCTGTCGGCATGCCATACTTTCTAAATTTTCTACCTGGCACTACAGAACTGAACACAGAAAGAATGATACTTATACAAGCTATTCACAGTGTAGCATGTCTCCTGAAATAAAAGGAAATGGGCTATTGACTCTATTGGGCTTTCAATCAAGGCTTTCAGTCATCATTTGGAGAAACACTTTACCATATCCTTGAGTTTATCCTTATTCCCAAAAACATTTAAGCAATTAGGGGAGCAGTACCTGTCATTTTTCCTACACTAACCTGTCCAATTTAATGCACCTTCAGTGGACCAGAATCCACTGAATAATTTTGCTTCTTTCTCCTAAAGGCTGCCTAAAGGCCTCAGGATATACTTTCAGTATCTCGTTCCTAACAAAATCATCTCAGTTTCCCTCAGAAAGTTTGTCTGCATCTGGCCACTGATATCATTCACGGGAGAGACAGAATTTCCAGGGTCCAAGCAATTTATAGTGCCATATAATGAGCATCCTGCAATAGTAGTAAACTCCATGCTTACCCACAATATTCCGAAGGGACTGCAGACAACATGTGTACACAATTGGCAGCATGGACAATGATGGGGGTTGCTACATTTTCAGCTCCTCGCTGATAAAGAATAGAGACATCAATTACCGCTACTGATTCTGATCTCGTAGGTGTGACCGATAACTCTGTTGAACAGCAAACAGCAGAAGAATCAGCCATTGAAACAGCCCTAAGTCTACAGGAATTATTGCCAAAATACAAATAAATTCTAAATAAATCACCAATAAATCTGGGAGAGGGCAACTTATTAGCTATATTATGTTCTATTTTTTTGTTATTATATCATAGAAAAATTATAAATAAAGGTTTTTTAAAAAAAACCCATATAAAAGTATTCTACAGGCCATATCAACTACTGCTGTAAGATATTGTGATGTGTGCACCCCATTACAGGGAAGGCTGCAGGCATGCAGAAGGGGGGTGAGGGGTTGAGGTACAGTAGCCATGGACTGGATTCTAGCTTTAAAGTTGTGTTGCAGAGCAATGAAAAGCTAGCTATGAAATCTGAAATTGTGTAAGTATATAAAGAGTGTGGAGAAAAGCAGAAGAGTTTGAAGACATCACCTCCCTCCCCCAAGGTAGTCATGGAGAGGCGGATCTCAAAGCGAGAAAAGGTTGCTGTGAACCAAGGAGTTCTAGCCAAGCATCCACCCACAATAATAATAAAAGAGGCCTGTCTGAATAGGAGTTGGAGCCAAAAAGGTGGTAGAGGATGGAACATCACATCTTCAATGTACTTTAGAAGTTGTTCCCACTCTTTCTATATCCTGTATTTTTAAAATGATTTAAAGCCATATGATGCTTTGTTACTATCAGTATGTGTGCTCAGGTCATATCAATGGAAACTGTAGACTTGTATTCACCTGCTTTTGCATGGGGTTCTCCCGACTAGGGAGATAACAGTCTCATTATTGGCAAATAGCAATGCAATATAGCTTCTGAGTAAAACTTTCTTGCTACATTATAATGTGAAAAGAGAATGCAAACGTCATGAGAATGCAAAAATACATGTATTTTTAGGTGCTGTTTTTCTGAGAAAAGGTCCTTCATAGCATTGAATTGACTGCATATCACACAAACAGTCTACTACATTCATATAAAAGGAATGGGTTTTTTTTATTTGCATTAATAAAGAAGCCCAAACCAGCAATTTTATAGACGAGTAAATGAATAGGTGTGAGAATTTGTGACACTTTCAAAACACATGGAAGGCTCCCAAATATCCACTTTCCTAATATTATTTAAATATTTTAACATGAAAAGACTGGCAAGTGAATAAACACAATAGTAAGGAAAGAAGGTGACATTGAAGGGGGAGGGGAGTTAAGCCCTGAAATTGCCTTCAAATAATCATCACTTCTTCACCAAATACTTTACTGTCCAGCTAGGAAAGAATCTGGCCAGAATCCTGCAGTTTAGATCTAATTGGTGGATGTGAGCTCTCCTGAGGACTGGTAGCAACCAACAAAGTGAATACCAAGCACCAGTTCAAGAAAGCAGGGAGCACAAGAACTCTGAACATATTTCCAACTCAGGGGCTGTAAACGACAAAGAAATGCTCACTGTAAAATCTGGAATACAATGCCAACACAGCTATAACCTTTGGGGACAAAACCAAATAATAGGTGTCAGTAGGCCTGTATAAAAAGCACAGTGTCTTACAACAATAAATGTGAAATGCTGGCCACTTGCCCTGGGGGTCACTGAGAAGTTTGCCTGTCTCAGTGGAGCATAGCTTTCAGGAACTATACAGAACAACAGAAAGGTAGGCTGAAGACCATGGGATGAATGTAAAATGACAAAGCAGACGTACACTGTGTTATTCCAAGTTAGCATATGTATCCAGGACTGTGAATGGCAACAGTTTCCCAGAGTCTCAGGCAGACTTCTTGCATGTACACAGCTACTTGTTTCTTGTAACTGAAGACGTTCTGTATGAGAAACATGTACTCTGACATTGAGCTACAGTATGCTAGGCTGAACACATCAGACAATGGTGGAATTAAGGAGCATGGTAAGTCTTTTTCAATAAGTCTGTATACATTTCACCCTAAATATTTAACCAACGGTGAAAATAAGTAGAGCTCTGTTAGATCAGATCATAGACCTGTTAGTTCAGCAACATGTTTCCCACCATGGCCAACCAAATACTTCTGGGAAGTCCACAAGCTTGGCATTAAGGAAATAGTGGATGTTCTATTAGCTACCATAGCTAACTACTACAGATGGAACTATCCTATAGGTTTCTGTCTACTCACATCTTATTAAGCTATCTAAGCAAGTGGCATATGGTGGGGAAGATGGGGGGGGGGGAGGAGAGACCGCAGTCCTCCTCTCCTGGTTCACACAATATTAATTACATGCAACGGAATGCCCAAACGAGGTTAATTTGGAATATGATAATTTCACATCACCTTGGCGTATGAGGATGTACATATTTTTTGTAGATCCAGGTGAAATATGGTTTCAATGATGAAGCTTTACAGTTTTTAAAAATGACAAAAATAATATTTTGCATCATATGAAATAACATCATGGCTCTCCTTGTTATGCTATCTTGAGCCTTGAAGTAGTTATCCAGTGCTCTCACTGGTTAGCATAGCTAACCATGGACAAGTAATGTACATTTTTACGTATAGTGAAAATTGTAACTCCTTTGTTCCTTCCTTGGTCCTGCTGCCAGCATGTTAAGCCATTGTTTGGTTATGTAGCAAATAGTCCATGCCACAGTCTCTAAAGCCTTCTTATAATAACAACACTCAGAAGATTTTACTCATCTTCTGCCAGGTCTGCATAATCACTACACCACTATCTCTATATTTGCCCCTTTATCATAAACCTTCTTTTAATTAGTACTTCCTTTTATACTTCCTACATAATTCCCCCCCCCCTTTCACCTTCTCCTCATCCTTTTCATCCCCTTGTCCCCATAGACTCCCCATGTAATTAAACTCCCATCCTAGCACTCTTGCTATTCCATATGCCTTCATGAGATTGGCATTGTGTCTTCCTCTCTGTTTGATATAATTGTAAATCCACATGTTTCTTTCCATTCTGCCTGGTACCTAGGAAATAACAGGTCCAAGCTGGAAATCGAGAGCAATGCCTAGCACAAAAGTTATTATATTTTCTTGGATATATTATTATTTTAATCTTCCTCCCTTCAAGCCTTAACTGTCATCATATAAACATGATTTTTTTTGTTCTTAGAGAATACAGATGGCACGCTGACAAGTGTGTAGACGGATGAACACTCAATCTCCCCCCCCACACACATACACAATATGCTAGTAATTTCAGGCTGCATTTTGTAAGCATAGATATATGTGTTGAGCTGCTACTGAAAATCTTTGAAAGTTAATTCATATCACTTTTACTTGAATTAAAGATTACTTGATTTAACTGTGGGAGAGCCTTGTCTGAGTAACAGGAGACATGTTTCACATGCAGAGAACCCCAGGTTCAACCCCCTTTAGGGCTGGGAGAGACACATGTCAGAAACCCTAAAGAGCTGCTGCCACTGACAGTCAGTGTAAGCAGTATTGACGTAGAAGGACCAATGAGTCTGACTCAGTATAAGGCATATTTCTATGTTCCAAAGTGGCACTGGAAGTCCAGTAGCCTAACACAGCCTTTGTTATGTTTCACTGTTTCATGTTGGAATTTGATGGCATATTTCATGAGATCTGACAATTTGATGTATGATTTTCAGATTTCCCTAGTCTAAAAAGAACTCCATATATACCAAATTCAATCTTAGTAACTACAGTGCAGAGGTGCATTTCATACCCCTCTTTTAACGTAGTTGATAATAATGCTGTTCTCAGAAATTTCTAGCAATTCAGATGTGTGAATATAGCCAGAGTAGGCCCATGACTGACTTTTGTAACCACTGATTTCAATGAGTCTACTTTAAGAATGACAGTTCCTGGATCAAACCCAGTGTGCATCCCGAATGACAGCTTTCTAGATAATATGAATAGAGAAGCAAACATTTGGCTTAAACAAAATTTTGAACATTTTCAGATGGTTTTTCGTGAGATTGATTACAAACTTCATGTTCCTGATTTTTAATTTTAGATATAAACCAGCACTGGCCCAAAGATATGGAGTCAATTCAGCTCTAGCTGCACCCAGTCAATGGCCTCATAAGGGTATGAACATATTCATCCGCTTTAAATGGGTCAAACTGCTACATTGGGGTGCCCTAAGAAGCACAATGCAGGTGAACATTGGAAGCCAGGTGTCCATCATTATTACAGTGTTGGAGACTGGAAAGATTCAGGTTCAATCCCAACTCAGCATGAAGGGGAGAGATTTGGAGCAATCATTATCTCTTAATCTAGCACGTACTTTGCAGGTTTCTTGTGAAGATGCATTTGGGGAGAGAACTAGGTACGCTGCCTTGAGTGCATTGGAGAAATGACAGGGGTATAAATGCAGTAAGTAACAATCCAGATGCCAATCTGCACCTGCACTGGTTGCATAGCTTCTTCTCCATGCAGACTTGCTGGTTTGGAGAGGGAATCTTTGTTTCTGGTGTATCGACCCACACTTAGCCATTCCTTGCCTTTTCAACCATGCATATTATTTCAGCACCTTTTAAATCCTCATCACCCAAAGATGGTGTGGTTATCTCTCTGCCCTTTCACCTGCTCTCCCGTTATGTCCTATATTCCCCATGGAAATTTCACCTCAACTTTGGGCATTCCCGTTTGGACGGCATAGCCTCAAGCCATTCACCCCCACGTCGGTCTCAGGTGGCCTTCCAGATGCCCGATTTGTTTTCTCTTTTCTCCTTACAGCCATTTTGTTTTCCTCATTAAAAAAGCAAGGAAAAAAAGGAAAGAAAACCGCCTCCCCTCGCAGATCAAGACATGTCTTTACAGACAGCCACTCCCCGCGTTGTTCTGGAGCCTCACCCACCGCAGCCCACCCCGCTTGCAGCACCTAGCAGGCAGATTTTGCCACTGTAGAAACCTTTCTGACCACAGACTCCTCCAGCAGCAGAAGCAGCAGCAGCAGCCTTTCCTTCCGGACTCGCCTCCCTCCTTCCCCGCACCTCGGTGCAACCTGTCGCACTGCACAGGCATGTGAGCCCACGCAGCCCCTCCAAATCTGCATA